CTGCTCCTCGTCGTCTTCCTCTGCGGCGTCGCTGCTCGTCGCTGTCTTTCGCGGCGTCGCTCCTCGTCGTCGACTGCTTGTTGGTCTCTCGTGACGGCTCCTTCGAGACTCTGGATATTATGCGAACCTCACTGTCGGGACCGGCAAGGTGTTTCGCCTAGCAGGTGGAATTAGGTTCTGACTTTTCGGCCAGCCACCTTTATCGCAGGCTCCCTAAGTTTGGTCCGGATTGTGTCGGCAAGGTGTATCGCCTAGCAGGTAGAACTAGGTTCGACCTTTTCGCCCAGCCACCTTTATCGCAGCCACCTTGACTGCTCCGGCATCCTCGCCTCCTTCGCTGTTGCTAGGCAGGTCTCCTGCATCGGGATTCGTGGGGAGTTTTAAGACTCCTCACATATTCTCCTCTCTTCGGAAATGTTATGAAAGTGGTGATCTCCCCGCCTCTGTTGTTCGTTCATTCAAATTCCCCGCCAAACTCGTTCTCCTCGTGACCCCATACAGTTCTCCAAAAGACTTCAACTTTCCCTGAACTGTCCTCGTAAGACTCCCCCCAGACAGCGCCTGAAAAACCTTTAACTTTCCCATGGCTGTGCTGCGTTAGCCTGTTCCCCACACAGTTCCCCGAAAGACTTGAACTTTTCCAAAACTGCATCTCGTTCCCCCAGACAGTTCCCCGCCTGAAATTTGAATTTCCCTGTCTTTGAAATCACCATTCCGATTCCCGTCGTCTGGCCACTCTACCGAACCCGTCTCGATCGCACTTATCGATAATAGGTCCAGCACTGCCATCGTTGTTGCCATTATCGTTATCTTTCCGTTGTCTTAAGATGCCTCCGTGTGACCGTTTCTTGAGAAATCCAGTATTTTTGTACCCATCGATCGCAACTTTCGATCGACCGCCTATCGTCTGGCGCCCCGTCCCTTATTTCTCAATAACCTCGTTGTTTTGAAAAAACTGGTGAGTAAACTTGACATTTGCAATTTTCTTGTAACTAAAGTCTTTTTTCCTTACAGCGACACGATGCTCATGATGCCCCTGATCCCCCTGCCATGTCTCGGGGTGCTGACCCTAGACCGCGTGCCCCGGGAGACCCTTGCGACACCAAGTGAACCCATCTCGCCCTACGCCTGCGCGAGCGAATGACAGCGACGAGGAGCGACGCCGCAGAGGACGACGACGAGGAGCACTCGTAGCGGAAGAGCTGCGAGGCGTGCATAAGGAGACGAATAAAAACCTTCACGATCCCAACAGAACTCTTGCGTTACATCTGGCGCCCATGAGTGATTGCCCTTACCAAGAAAACAAAAGATCAATTATGGGAAAGTCCTGGACTTATAATCTCAGGAAGGAGGACTTCGCCGAGGTGAGCAATGTTCTGGGAATAGAACTCGAGCGCTTAGTAGAGGGCTTAGGGCGATGAGGAAAACCCTGGCTGAGACGATTGACCGCATAGCAGAAGACCCGGTCAATGCAGAGTTAGTGGCAGGTCTGGAGATCAAATTCCGGAAGCTGCCGGTCCCAAAACTTAAACTAACAACCGCAGATGCCGAATGTCTTATAGCAAGCAAGATATTCAGAGCATGGCAAGCGACGGCAGGCAGCGAGAAGGCAGCCGAGAGAGGAAAGAAAGCGTACGGCAAGTCCGAGAGTGGAACTTTCAGTATGATGGCAACGATAAGCCACTGGAGTTCCTGGAGCAGGTGGAGTGGTCAGCCGTGACATATGGTCTGGATATAAACCAAATCCCACGAGCAATGCCTGAGCTGCTGCAGGGCAGAGACCTAAAGTGGTTCATGGACAACAACTGGCAGTGGGACAACTGGGGAGACTTCATATTCAGCTTCCAAGGCTATTTCCTACTTCGAGGCTACATGGAGAAGCTAGCGGACCAGGTCAGGCAGCGGAGGCAGACATACGGGGAAAAATTTAAGGATAACATGGTGGACATGCAAACGATGATGCGGCCCCTGGGTATGTCTGCCAAAGAAGTCCTGAACAGGATAAAGGAGAACAGCACGCCGGTCTTCCGAATGTTTATCCGGCCGTGCGAGTGTCGGCACCTGGAAACCCCGATTGCGCTGGTAGACGAGTTCGAGGAGCTGGACGAGCAACGGGAGAAGTTTGAAATGGAAAACCACTCCCAGAGAATACAGAACCGCCCAGTGCCAAGGCCAAGGGCAGAGCAGTGTGCAGTGTGTAGGCGGTGCCAGGAGGACTCGGATGCGGCACGGAGGCATACGCCGCAGGAACACGGACCACCAGCCGATCGAAGTGGATTTATCCAGAATTCAGCCAACCCTTGCCGCAGATGCGGGGGCGCAGACCATTGAACGAAGGAGTGCCGGAACCGGCGACTCACGTTCTGCTAGCGAAGCGGAAAAATAGGTGTCCGACGGCGGAGTGCTGTTTGGGAAACGCGCAACGATCCCAGCCTCCGAGGGGAGGGACACCTGAAGGAGGAAGAAAAGCAACTGTCGGCCACAGTGCTCATAAATGACGCAAATGTTAAGGCCACGGTTGACACCGGCGCCACAGCGAGTTTCATCAGCAAAGAGCTGGTGGACCCACAAAGAGGCAAGTACGGATGGCGGACGGTAGATGCGGAGACGTAAAATCGCAGCTAGAAAATCAAATCGGACTTGGCACAAGAAAAGTGTCAATGGAGCTGCTGATCCTACCAGGATTGATCGACTGGTGCTAGGATGGAACTTCCGCACCAAAATCGGAGCCTAGGTGAAATGCGCAGGTCACTGCGTGGTGATACCGGCGAGGGACAGACACCGAGGCTGGCTGGAGGAAAAACTGTCTGTAGCAGTCGTGGAAGCCCCGAAGGGATTTACTGAAAAGGATGTGGACCTGTTTTTAAAGTCCGAGTTGGAGAGCCTGGAAAATCTGCAAGGCAAGGCCCGAAATATTGCCGCACGCCTTCGCGTATCAGGATGATACAATCGTCATCGGACGGACGCTAGAAGAGCTAGAAGGGGCCGTCGGAGATGTCGCGGGACGCGGCGCCACCCCCGAAGCTCGCGCGGCAGACCTCGTGCCGGGAGCCGCGAGCCCCACCGGCGAGGCCGACGCTGGGCGAAGGTTCCGTAGACGGAGTGGCCGGCTCGGGTGGCCGAGGAAGCGCGACGGCAGCGAGGGAGACGCAGGAAGGACCGATGGGCCAAGCTCATTTTGGACGGCTGAGAGCGCTACCGAATAAAGGTAGAAGGGGGCCGGGTGCGGTTTCTTAGGGTCCAATAAAGTGGTCCCAACACGTAAGACCAGCGTTTTAATTTGATTTAATTTCACAACACAGAAACAAAAAGAAACAAAAAGTGGTCAGCCGCAGCAGCCGATCGCGGAGCGGGGTCGGGCCAAGCACGCGGGCCGGCAGATGTAATGACCTGATTTTTTAGATGTTCTCGCTCACTACCGGGACCGGCAAGGTGTTTCGCCTAGCAGGTGGAACTAGGTTCTGCCTTTTCGCCCAGCCTTTAACGCAGGCTCCCTAAGTTTAGTCCGGATTGTGTCGGCAAGGTGTATCGCCTAGCAGGTAGAACTAGGTTAGTTCACGGTGCGTCCTCTTTGTGCGGGTCCGTAGTCCGCCAATTTACCGTTCGACCTTGTTGCCCTTGCCGTGTGAGGGTCCTATGTCCAGCGCGGTACCGTTAATTCACGGTTGTTTACCGTTTGACCTTGTTGCCCTTGACTGCTCCGGCATTTTCGCCTCCTTCGCTGTTGCTAGGCAGCTCTCCTGCATCGGGATTTTTGGGGAGTTTTAAGACTCCTCACAAAACTTTTACATATATAGAAATCCACTTTTCTATATGTATTTTTAAATGAAGGAAAATGCTTTTATATTTAGAAAAGAATCTTTTAAACTGTTTAGCCTATGGGGTTGATGTCTTGGAACATAAAACATTGCGTAGCTATTTTGGACCCGGGTTCAAATCCCCTACTAAGTATTAAGTATGTTAATATTTATTTCTGTTATTCTTTTTTTTTAATGGACTGACCTTTAAAGACTAGTTTGCAAAAGCAAATTTTTATGAATACTTTTCTCTTTAAATTCTTATACGGGTTTTGTGCAAAGTTTAATGTGATGCCAATGTGGCGCGACCGGCAAATGCGTCTACGAATCCAAAGGTCCTCGGTTCAAATCAGGTTTGTTTTTCCCTTTCCTTTCATAACATTATTTCCTTTCATTTCATTCCAATTACAGGGAGCGGGCTCAAGAGGGTTGGCATATAAAAATATTAATATAATATAAAATAACAGATATAAAAATAGGTAATAGCCTTTGCTTCCCATCCAGGATTTGGGGTATTTTTAAGAAAGAATCTAAAATATAGAAATCTATTTATGTTATAAATAATGGTGCCCTCAAACCTTTCTGTAATTTAGACAAAATCGCCCATAAATCAAAACCGAAGGCGATATTCTAAAATCAAAAGTGAATATCTATGTTTTAGAAAACAACATTTTTGAGTGCACCTTTGCAGCTATTGGAAAATTAAACATTACTTAAAACAACTAAATTTTAATTTTTTTGCGTGCATGTTTAAAAAAATTCAAGCCTTGATGATTTGCCGTTGAAATGTTCCATCTTTATTGTGACAGCTATATGATACCGTTGTACGATTTTATAAATATAAAAGCGTGATTCTGAAATAATAAACCATAATTAAATCTTTAAGTAATTTAAAAAAAATTAAGAAGTAGAAGAGCTAAAAATTTTTTGTTCAATTTTTTGTTCAATTTTTTTTTTTTTTTTATGTAAATCGGAATTCTGAAATATTATGTAGTACATAAAGATAAATGGCCGTAATGTATAACAGCCTCTGCAATGGTATAACAAAATGGTAGCACAAGCAAATGTTCAGTGTCATTTTCTAAATATTTTATTTTTTTTAATTTAAGAAAAAGTTTTATATTTTTGTGTGATATATTGTAAGCAATTGAAAATGCCTTATATTAATTTAGTATATTAATTAAAATATTATATAAAATCACGCTTAATTTAATTTAATCTATTTTCAAAAATAAACAAATGCTTTAGAGATATTAAAAAACTACTGTATACCATAAGCGATATTAGGCAGCAAGCTATTATTATAATGTCTGTACCATCTTCATGAAATTGTTCTTCATTTATATCTGAATCCTTATTATTAGAAATATTATGCTCTACAATATATGCAAATGGTGTCAAATGGCTTAAAAGACAAAGGGCGATACCTTCCATTGTATCGGAATGGTTCGGCGTCAGTACTCCATCGCTAGACCATTCGCCATAGTTCCAATATTGACAAGACCCTGACTTATTGACGTCGTAGCTTGTTGTTTTTCGAAGGATAAGTGGAAATGGTACCGGGAGAACTGAACTGTATCCAGGCAATGATACTGACACTATACGACTTAATATTGTTTTAGTTTTTGTAGACTGTTGGAAAAGCTTATCATTTGAGTATACCTTAATAACAATAGTAGGGTCGTTTCTACTGGTAGATGAAGCAAGCAAATCAGAAAATGCTTTTAGGCTATCTAAAAGTTCTAACGGTAAATACACACCAAGTTGGAAGTTCGGGTTTATGACAAAGTCACTAATTTCATGATTTGATTGAAGAAAACGGTAATGTTCGTTTATAAATAATCCCTTTAATTTTTGGCGTATTTCTTCTGTCTTATTATTTTTAAACAATGCTATTCCAGACACGTTAGCTATTTTCGGGCTAATTGAGAAATATAAAATAAATTCTGAAACTTGTACTGAAACTCCAATATCCTCATAGTCTATAAATTCATTGTCTGATTCTGACGCAAGCTTATCTTCAACAAAATCGATTTTATTAAAGAATGAAATTGTTGAGAAAGTGTCAAATGCATGCTCAACTGACTCTATTAACTTGTTTGTTGCGTTTAGTTCAGCTGACATTTTTATAACTCTTAAGTCAATACTAGCTAGTAAATTGTAAATGTTCATAAGTTCCGAAAAAATATTTCTCCATGTAATAGAGCCTCTATTTGTCCTTTCGAGCGAAACATTTGATGAAAAGCTCTTAACAGTGTCTTGTATGATGTTAGAAATAAGAAGTATATCCGGAGGAAGTAAATTTTTTTTTTTCTCTTTTATAATTTGTTTAACTGTTCTTAAAACTTTTACCGGCGACGATTTGAGCATATTTGTTTTCATTAACTTATGCAAAATTAGTGTAGTACTTTGTGCAATTTCGCAAAGGACTGGTTTTTTTAGATCCGTCCAATGATCTCCATGTAAAAAGTCTCCCTGGCATAATCGAGTATGAGGCATACCATTTTTTTTAATACATAATATATTTGTACTCCCAAGCTCTCCCGTATGCGCTATGTTTAAATGGATTTGCACTCCATTTGTTGAAAGATATCGCTGTGGAAAGCAGTAATCTCTACTACGTATGAGAAATTTCGAGTTTTTACTGAAATCTTTTAATAATTGGTTTAGTTTTACCTTAATTCGCTTAAGAGCAAATGTGTTAATTTTTCCAGACTCGTCGTTGTGGCTTATTACCTCAACACTATTATAAGCTGATGATATTTTTAGTGATGCAGTTATGTGAATCAAATAAAAAAGTAATAAATTTACGGTGTATTCTATATTCATAATTCGAACATCGCGTACTTCAAATTCATTAAATATTCTTTGTTTTTTTCTACTGCTTATAAGGCGTCTTAGTTTTTTAATAATGACTTTGAAGTCCATTCTTAAAGTGTAACACAAATTATTTTTATGAATACAAGACACATTCCAGTGAACAAAAAATCCATTACTTTGTTTGTATTTAACAACTGTTAATCGTCGGGTTGATACTAGCTGAAAATCTAAAATGGTGTGAACCTCACGCCAATACTCGCTTCGAAAGCTTGAAACCAAATCAACTATAATTGAATAAGTTTTTTCTTTGTTCTCCCAAATAAGATCAACATTTGCATTTTTTAAAAAGCCATACTTTGCATATGTAAAACATTTAACGCCAACATCCGGTTCTTTATGTACCCACAAATAATTCCGATTATACACCACAATTATTAATGTATTAGATTTTCCATCCATTTTCAAAACCATTTTAACTGGATTTTTTGACTTAGTAATACGTTTGCTCAGAGCAGGATTCCATTTTAAGTTTATAACCTTTACCATTTTAAATGTGTTCATTAACACATTATACTTATTTCCAAAATGATCGGAAAAGTAATCAATATTAGTAAATATTGTTCTGAGCCAATTTCGTTTTTTTAGGTACTCTTTGGCATAGACGTGCATTTTTGTTTTTTTCCTCCAATCAATACCATAAGATTCGTGCGGACGAAAGATTAAAGCTCCAAAACCGTTTGGCCATCCAGCAATTGATATTAACTGTGATATAAAAATGCAAACTGTATTCAAAAATGTTTTGCAGTTTTCAGTGACTATAACATTTCTAGAGTTATTTGTACTCCGTTTATTTAGACTATGCCTTAAACAGTGTTCATCAGATTTGTTTGTTAGCTGAATAAGATTTCTATTTACTACTTTTCTCCATGATTTTCCCGCCAAACGCACTTCAAATGGAATAAACGCATTGTATCTCCTTACTGGAAACCAATAATCACTTATATTTTTCTTTATCAAAAACTGAGTTACTTTGGAGTTTTCTGAGTTTGTTAAGTCTGTTGGTATAATAACATTTGAGCCATAGCAAAATTGTTCATCGTATGCTTGAAGTGCAGTTGCAATTTTTATGCAAATTGTATCGTGGTTAGGCCTTCGAATTTCAAAGAGTTCATCTGCGCAGTATGAATTTTTATTTTTTTTCATGTTGCACTCTACTATGTCTGGGATCGAATTCCCAGTATTAGTGTTGCACAAACGTATAAATATTTGGTTATTTTTTAGGCACATTAAGTCTTTAGATGTTTTATAACTTAAGCCTTTATAGTTAAAGTATACAGTGCCTGCAGTTGTTTCAGTATAGTCACGACATTTTATCCGCTAAAATATATTTATGTTCAAATTATTCTTCAAAAATGGGTATTTGTAAGTTATTTACCATCCCAAATAAAGTAGTTTTAGAACATGTTGGAATTGCATACAAGCACAGATAAATTAATTTAAAGACGGGATTACTCAACATTTTTGTGGTACAGCGAATCAAACCGTAATAAAATTATGACAGTTCATATAGAGACTACGTGTCTAAGAAATATTATCTTTTTTATCTTAGTTATAAGACCACAATTTAACAAATTGTAGACCTTTTTCTTTTTAGGGCTTTTAGGGTGGTCCTAAATATACTGATCCGATCTTTAATTATTATCGGATATAGGGATTTGAACCAAGCTGTAGCTGAAAGATTCTTAACCAAAGCGGCTTAAGTTTTTTTAGGATTGGACTCACTTTTGCCCAATTTGTTTAATTTGTTGATGAATCGAACTAGAAAGTACTTACTATGTTTATATCTAAAAAAATATAAAACAAATTTCAAGCTATTCAAGTAAATAAATTATTTTAAACTATGAAATGACAATTAGTGAGGAATACATGTTCAAAATTGTTTAAAAATTAAAAATATAACTAAAATGTTTTTTGTATTTAATTGTATTCAAATATAGTTTGTTCAAATAATTTTTTAAACGCTTCTGAATGGGTAATGGAAAATTCATCCACAGTATTTTCAAAAATGTCGGCAGGTGTTTTAATACCAAACGGTGTTGGTTTTACTTTTAGTTAAAAATCTCTTCTACTCTCCTCCACCTTACATTGCACAGTGATACAACAAAGCCAAAAACGTTTTAAAAAAGGTTTGTTATTATTAATGACCTTATTTTATAAAAAATTATTCCCCAACTGCAAATATGTATAATAATATAAAAAAGAAACTGATTTTTTTTTGGATTTAATAAGCTGACTGGTGTTTAGATTTCATAAGAAATATGTATATTAAGACCCTGAACTCGCTGATGATTTCTCTTCTCGAACCACTCGGTATGGTTTAAGAATCCTGTAAGGTTATTTAGTTTAATGTCTGGTATGTCAGTGTAAGGTAGAGTGTAGCTAGCAATGCTTGTAGGCATTGACTGTATGATTCTCAATAGTGGTGGTTCAAATACTAAACTTGTCGTTGCTCGGATGATTGCTTCGGAGATGACATTGTTGGAAGTCTCTTCTATTTCTATAAAAACATTGAGGAGTATTATTTATGGTGGAGTTCGTTTTCTATCTTGGAAACCTTTTCGAAAATGGTTCGGCTGCTCCAATGTGGGTGTATATGCTGTTATCATGGTTTTCATTTTATACGATGTATATAATATACGATATATATACGACCTATAGGTCTAAAATCTTTTTGGAGATGTATGTGACGGTTTCCCAGCTTTTGGGACGCAGATAACTTTTACCTCTAGTCACTCCTTGGGTTTGTGTTGCAGAATAAGGCAGTAAAAAAAATATTTTTCAACCACGACAAGATTATCTTTTCCATGCGTTTTTTGTTTCCGTTTTTGTAAGTAAGCGTATTTGCAATTGTTCAATGTTTTTTCCCCTTTCGGTAGCTTTTAGCTGCTTGCTTTCTTCATGTTCTTGTTCTTCATGTTCATGTTCTTCAAGCAGATTGATGGTGATTATTTCTGAGATGACGAGAGCTGCACTATCCGATAGCGTCCGCCGCAGCGCACTCTGAGAGCACACAGCCTGTATGTGGCTTCCAGGCCCCTTCTATAAGACTCTGAGCCTGTTGCGTCAGCTAATATGGGGGCAGCGTAAAGCTTTGCAAACGAACTATTTATCGCATGCTATTGTGTTTACAAAAACCAGGCTAAAGCCGGAGATTCTCAGCTCCGATGTTTTCCCGGGTAAGTACACATGTTTTTATTGCTGTTGATTCAACCTAACTATTTATCACTGATTTTTAAGGAAATGCATGACGTCGAATTCCTAGATATACAGTTATCGTTTTCCGGTAGGTTTATTTATATGATTTATATTATATTATTTATATATGCCGCTACCATCTGAGTTTTCAGTTTATACGAACCAGCTTTCCGTTATACAGTCCATTTATATTAAACTGCCCCTGGTGCTGCGCATGATACGTGCTAGTGCTCTCGCGACGAGGGCGGCTTTGCCTCTAGGTGCTTTCTAAATGACAGCCTTGTGTACAAGTAAAGTATTGCTTTAGACGTTTCCAAAGTCCAAAGCAGTAGTCCCAGTACCGATCCTTGAGCCACGCCATAATTGATTTTGTGCGCTTTTATATGTACCATCCGTATCCTAAAGCAAGATGTGGTCGCTGAAGTAGGATTTAGTTTTGCCTACCACTGCTTCAAGATTGTGGAGGCGCTCAAAGGTAGCATCCCAGCGTGTCGAGTTAAACGCATTTATGATATCCGGGGTCAACACCATGCCATACTCCTTGCTGCATTCCTCCATCTGCTTCTTTGGATTGCCCTGAAGGCAATAACTTTTATTTATTTATTATTAAACTGGTATTTAACAAAAAAAAATGTTTTTCTTAAATTTTGTTTTTTTGGTACTAGCTAGGGTATCAAACAGGTTTAGTAACTGTTATCTTTAACCGGTAAAACCTATTCAAACACGTATCCAAAATCAAAGCCGATATAATATGTATTTGCCTAACCGGAACCTTAACCAAAATATATAGCAACCAGAATAGCCGTTTCCGAAACCGAAAAATTAGTACCGTTCTGTAAACATGTGTTCCTTAAAAATACATAAGCTGTAAAACGACTTAATCATCATCCTGTAAAACAAAAAAGGATGCACTCTTTGGAAAGCCGAAGCTTATATACCCAATTGCAAAAATAAAAAATTCTTGAAAACATTAAAATTATGATTTACTTGCGTATATTTTTAAAAACATTGATGCTATGATGATTTGCATCTCAATTATTCGACAGTTCCTATGGCAGCTACATGATATCGATTTCCGATTTTAATAAAATTAAAAACGTAAATCTGAGTAATCATTTAAGATCAAAACGATATTAAAGTTTCATATGTTCATAAAATCTTTTCTTAGAACAGCGCAATATGCCAGTAATTCAAAATTGAACTTTTCTATATTCATAACAACAAAGCATGGTAATTTTCCATATATATATATATACAGGGCTTTTGTTTAAGCCAAAGTTATTTTTAAGATTATTTTGACTCATACTAACAGATTTAATTTTCATTGTGCTTTCAACGCAGGATATAAAAACTAATTTGGCTCCCAGAATCAACTAGGTATTCTACAAACAAATACTGATTAGGTTCTGGCTTAAAGTAAATTTTAAACGGTCTTACGTATTCGTTGCTGCGTATATTTTTCTTCTCGGTGCATTGAGCCACTAGATGGTCCAGAGTTCCACAACCGTAGCAGGATCTGAGCTGGCGCTTGGGCTTGCGGCATACGGCTGCTAAATGTCCAACAGAGTTGTATTTGAAACATCAAGCAGTTGTGCCCAAACCAGGTCCATTCCCGTCAGCTACTTTGAGGCGTCCAAGTGTAAATGGGGTTTTGCGCAAAGAAACTTTCGTGAATGCCCGCAGACGAGTTGAAGCAGTTCATGTGCGCTTGTTGACGCAGAAGTGTATCCGGGATTCCTTTGATTATATTATCAATCAGCTCTTTGTCGTCCATCTGAATGTGCGCAGCTAAACATGTTTTTCCGTTGAAATAGGTGGCAAAGTCTTCAGATGGTTGCTACTTGCGCTCCTGAATCTTGCGTCGAGACATAATCTTGCTTTCCTTGGATTGAAATACATCGCTAAGTTGAGTCAGCAAATCCCGAGCTGGCAGAGTCAAATAGTTTCAGTGGAGTATAACCAAACTTGAGCACGGTCTTTTAACTTAGACATCACTAGCATGTGAATTAGATCGTCGCTGCGCTTATACATCTTAAAAATGGCATTAAGATGAGCAATCCATGTATTAACTGGCACTTTGTTGTTAACTTGAGTTTAGACTGATTAAGCGAACGACCATTGCTTGTGGCCCACTTACTTACATTTTACAGTTCTACGTTTCATATATGTACAAAGTCTAATATTCTACCTTAAGAAGAGAAAACATACATTTAAACAAATGAACAAAACAGTCAGACAATATTGTCGATAAATCTTCTACATATGTACATGATTCCGAATACATACATGATTCAGTAAAAACAGCTTGCATTCTACCACTCATGTATGATAATAGTTTAAAGTGGGACCAGTAAGGTTAATAGATTAAAGGATTAAAGTTGTGTAGGACTTCGTGGCAAATGCTTTTCTGAAGTCCAATATATGTAGTTAAAAATGTTATATAATTAATGTTTCTGTCTGATGTTCTCAGTTAATTCTGAATCGCAGTTGTAAAGCCTTTAAATTTTCGAAAGAAAATTTTCATTAATGAATTTTGGCCTAAAAATTAATTAATTTTTGAAATACCTTCACCTTAACCATTTTCCAGATATTAGAGAGCAAGCAGACGTAAATACAGTGTTGAACACAAACGTAATTTTATTAAGGATTACGTCAAGATAAGGTAACGGAATTTTGTATTCAGATCATTGGTGTCAGTGATTATCTTGTTTTTGTGAGTAATAAGAACGTTTCGCAATAACTATTAATACTGGTATGACTTAACATTGTTCGTTATTCGGTATTTCATCGAATATTTTTTACTATCGGTATCGGCTCTGACAATTTTTTTCACTCATTACTCATTGGAATCGTCATAGGTTGACTTGCTCGCTCTTAAGTAAAATCGTATAGTTAAAACAAAAAATGAGCAATGAATGAGGCCAACAATGTAGTGCCATAACCCGAAAGGTATGTTACAGTAGCTGTTTAGGACTTAAATTCTTTAAAATATTCAGGAATTTTGTATCTTTTCCATCTTCTATGAGCAGTATCTCTTTGGCTTATCTTTGCAGCTTAATTATTATTAAACCAATCCTTGGTCGGCTCTATGCTTTCTGTTAAGAAACAAAGTTGGGCACTTACGTCAGTTAGAGTGTGTATTTAACATAGATCGAGGGCATCTAAATGCTGGCTATGTATGTGTGGTTAATGCAAATGGGGTCAAATTTATAAGTCAGATAGATTATGTCATGCTTGGTCATTTAAAAGAGTCTAGCTAAGATCATTTGTAATCAAAACATAA